TCGAGGTAAGACTAACTGGCCTATAGTTTCCCGGGTCCTCCTTCCTCCCTTTTTTGAAGATGGGAAACACGTTGGCCCTCTTCCAGTCCTCCGGTACCTCTCTAGAGCACCACGAGTGCTCATAAAGCCTTGCCAGGCGACTTGCCATGAGCTCAGCCAGTTCCTTTGGAACTCTAGGGTGGAGATCGTGCAGACCAGCTGACTTGAAAACGTCCAGCCCCTCCAGAAGCTCCCTAACTAAATCCTCGCTAACCCTTGGCCCAGGTGTGCCTCCCCCAGGGCCCGAGGCAGGCACAGCAGGGAGGTGGCTGTTCTGGTCCCTACTTAGGAAGACGGAGGCAAAGAAATCATTAAACATGTTAGCTTTGTTGTCTGGTGTGACGACCAAATTTCCCAACGCGTCCTGCAAGGGCCCCACATTATTTTGTATAGTGGCTTAAGCTTCCATTCCACCCAAGAGAGTACACAAACACCAGCAAACTCTCCCTATGCCTGCAGAAGGGTGTTCATGTCGGAAAGCTTATGAAGAACAATCTTCTCAACTCTTGTGTTGGTCTAATAAAAGATACCACATTTACCCAAAGATTCGTGTCTGCCACAGAAAGGAAAGGCACCTGAGTTTTACCACAAGACAGGTTACAAGGGGTCAACCACAAGCAGTGATGTAGTGCTGATCACGCTTAGCTACATTACCAGAAACACTGCTAGTACCAGGATTTTATAGTTTAACAACTCTGGTATTTTATAAGCATGTTTAAAATGTGAATGCCCAAGGGTTTGGCATGTTTTTTTCTTGTCAATTTAAAACCACAAAACATTTCAGAGAAGCTTCAAGGATAAAAACATACTACGGTAAAAACCCTGTTACCCAGCACAAGTGGGGAATGTGGGGTACCGGTAATCTAAAAATGCCGGTTACCTGAGGCACAGGACTTCTGGCCGGACACGGAGCTGGGGGGAGGGAGGGTGACTGCCGCCGCATGCGAAGTGGCAGCAGCGCAGGGTGGTGGGTAACGGTGGCCGCCACGTGCAAGCTTCCCCCCACTGCCTCCAGCCTGCCAGCCGGAAATTCTGGTTAGTAGAGTATGACTGTTAGTAAAATAGTAATAGTATATGCTGGATAACAGGGATTTCACTGTATCCAGCATATACTATTAACCTAAAAATATATACCTCAAAGCTTTTAGAAAATTAAAACCCATATACCGAAAATTTAGCACTGATACAGGCTTTACTTGAGTGAAAGAAAAACAAGAAACACGTTCCTTAGCTTAAGGGGTATCCTATATATGTTGGGGTAGAAAGTCAAATTCTTCCCCTAAAGCCACAAACTCCCTACTGTAAAAAAATGTAGATAAGATACTTGCAGTTTCACAGGCTTAGATTGTTGGTCTTCCTTGTGAGGGACATGGGGATATATTATTTTGGAGAAATAAAAAAAGACAAAAAACAATTCACAGAGTAATCTCTTTTCCAGAAAATCTAACATTATCTATGTTTTTCTAGGGAAACCAAGGCTTGTCAATAGGTAATGATTTAAAGTTTTGCCTCTTAAAATGAAAGTGTTCTAAATCAGCTGTACAAGTAAAAGTAAACCTTGATGTCTCTACAGAGATATGAAATGAACAGCATGTACTCCAAAATGGGAAAATCTGAAAGGGGGAGGGGAATCTCACAGGGAATACAATATTACCAGTGAGAAGAGGACAAATGACAGAGGAAAACGCTGATTTGAGAGTTATATACATTTTACTGCATGTTTTGACTAGATTGATACCTATGGAAAATATTCAAAAATTGCAGTGATTAAAAATACCCTTTTATTTTCATCATATCAGATGTAATCACTAGACTTTTGATTGAATGCATCCACCGTGGCAAGGATTGGACTAATATAGGGAGATGTTGGAATAACAGACATTCATGACAGCCTTTCATGAGTAACTGTTTTTTTTCTCAACAGTCCCACTTATTCATACCTTTACTTAGCTGGTATTTTTTAAATTTCCTTCACAAAAGCAAGAAAAATATATTACTGCTTGACAACAATTAAACAAGGAAAAATTCTAAAAGTTGTGTGAATCTTTCAGGACCACAAAAATGAATCTTCAATTAAAAAAAAAAAGGGAAACCCAATTAAGTTAAAGTTTTTATTATTGGATCTATAGTGATGATCTACCTCCACATTCATGTAACACAGGTACACATTAAACTTCGTAAAACTAACTGTTGGGAAATGTGGGGCTATTTTGTACTACAAAAAGACTTATAGCCTGTGGGTAACACTTATGTTTTTCTTTGGAACAGTACAGTAGTAAAATATTCCTAAACCAGCCATCTGAAAAAATCATTCAAATGGATTCTTTCATATGCTAAAGTATGTAGTTGAGAGTAATATAATTCTTTGCCTTTACATTGACCTACAAATTAATCATTTTGTCTTTGTGCAAGATTTTTTTTTCCCTTTCCCTTTTTTTTTTTTTTTTTAATTGACCAGTTGTTTCCCAGGCAATTTAACTAATCTGAACTCTGAATGACCTTGTTATCCAAACAGTGTTTTAGAGATAGCAACTACTCGAACCCTGGACCATGGTATCATCATTTGGGCAGATTCTGGAACCACTAAGATCCTACTTTATTCACTCAATACATAACAATAGGTTATAATTGTAATGATGTAACATATTTCATGGTACTTTCATCACAGAGGAGCTACATACAGTGAGCTCAGATTCCTTGAGCTGTATTTTAGAATTTACTTCAGAAACGTTGCCACAAAAAAACTAGAGAAATAAATAATAGCATTTCTTTCATCAGCCTAATTAGTAATACAGTTTTGTACCTAGGGGTGGAACATGTTAAGCTAACGTCTCGCCTATTTACTAAGTTTCTTAAGCAACAAAAAAAAATACCTGCCACATTACCATAAAAAGTTTACTAACCCTGCAATACTGTATCAAAGGCTATTTAATCAATTTAATTGCCAGTTCCAAATGAAAATCTAGCATTATTTATTATATGTGGAGTTACTAGCTAAAGTACTTGGAAAGATTTACTTCCAAGTGGTCACCTACTTAGATCAAGCACTAAATCACTGACTTTGTGATGGTGTTTGTTTAGGTGGCAGCAGTTTAGCTGGCCAAGCCTCAATGGCCCCTCACTGAGCTCTGTGTGTGTGGCCCATTTTGCATTGCAGCTGGCTTGACATACAAGTCCCACTGTATACCAAACCTATTGTTATTTTAATGTGACTCTTAACAGTCCACTTTGCCCTTACCACCCTAAATACAGCTCCTAAGGGCAGCATGTTGAATACGCTGTGGCAAAGCCACCTGTCCTAAGGAAAATAAATCATTATACACAATTAAAACTAACTGGCACAGTTTTCCAACAGAGACACAAGTAAAATGCAGATTTCCAATATGACAGCAGTGCATCTTCTTTGATCATTGCTTCAAAAAACTAACACAATAGAAGAAATCTGTAATAATGCTGCATGGCAATCTGTTACTTTTTCCTTCCGTTTAAGTACATGATATTACATGCTTTGAAAACAACTTCGTGTCAGCACCCTATTATGAAACTGCACCACGATTCTGTTAAACTTATTTTTTGACTCAGCAATGGATTATTTGTGACAAATGGCAGATTAAAAATGTCAGGAAGTGACACGAGTCACTTCATGTAAGCCTATTACCCTTTTAGGGTGGTCAGTGACACATCCCCAGAATATAGGACATCCTCTTGGTGTGGGGGACAATCAGCAGCAAAGAGCAGGTCCACCACAAAAAGACCGCCTCCCTTCCCCCCTCCCTGGCTAGCTCAGAACCCTGCTCCTCCTAGCCGTACACTGCCCTACCTCTAGGCACAGCCAATAGAATTGGCAGGACAAATGACTGACATGCATTTCCACCAAAAAACTGAAAAAATGGGATTTTTTACAGTCCATTCATCATTTAGAAATGGACAGGAGACACGGCTTAAAAACAGGATGGTCTGGTATAAAACAGGGCCAATGGCCACCCTAGGTACAGTCATGTCTCAGTTCTACATTGCACGTTGTGTGCACCATTCAGCTGTACCCCAAAGAGCTGCCATAGCAGATTTACTATCCCTGCACATCTGGGAGGAGAATGTCTATCTGTTCATCCCCCCATGAATTGATTTGTCTTCTCACAACATTCAAGACAGGATTGGACCTAGCTGCCGTAGTCAAATGTTTCCTGATCTGGTATAAGAAGATAAAAGAGAGCTTTGAAAAAGACTGGTATTTCTAATTAACTTTAGACAGTTATTTTAAAAAATATTTAATTTCTCTCTAATCAAGGACAGGATGATTTTTCACTATAAACTAGGAAAGGGAAATAAAAACCATGTAAAAGAGTCACTTTTATAACTTCCCTCCAGACAAAAGATGTTTACAGTGCTGAGTTTTTAGTTGGTGTGGAGAATCATTTGTCAGATTTACCACTCCCAAACATTCCTGCTAGATACTAAATGCAAAACAAGCCCTGAACAAACAACCAAGGGCACCTCAAGGGGTATAACTACTCTGTTTTCACGCAGCAACTTGCAAAACCTATATTCTCTTTTCTACTGCTCTCCAGACTTCAATGTGGGGTTTTATGGTCTGAATATTACTTCCTTACTCAGTAAAGTTTAAGAAGGTCATTGCACAATTGCCTGGAGGATTTAAGTCAAAGATATGCAGGTAACCAGAGAATCTCAGATTTTGGGAAACAAAACACCTATTAGTTCAGGTAATATATCATACTGTCAAAGCAGGATTGTTCCTTACAGTGAATTTTCCATCAGTGTGTCCAATCCTGACTCAGGCACTAGGGTTATCACCATTTCCCTTGGCAAACATGTCCATGGTAAAATAAATTTCAGCATTAGAAAAAGCTTCCTAAACTATGTCTATATTTGTCTTCGCTAATTTCATCCCATTATTCCTACTAATGCTCCTTTGGACTATTTTGTGCAGCTATAGGTACATATTAGAGAACCAATTTTATCAAGGTTTTCATGGCAAGTTCTTTTCAGAGACTTAGGAAAGTATTTTGCCATTAAAAGATTCAAAGTACTTTCTTAGTACAGTTAGAAGAATCTGAATTTTGCCTATGAATATAGGTTCCATATATTTTCATAACTAAATTCTTATTAAATAAGTATTGTTAATCAGCACTCTAAACAAAAGTTCACCATCATAGGTAGCCTGAGAATTAAGCAACAAATATGCAAGGTCTCAGAGGACTGCATACAAACTCTTGGAAAAAAAATTATGGCATTTTGCATTTAAAGGTTTTCTAAGTCCTTTTTTATCTAAGAATACTAATAATTACCAATCAAAAAAGACTACACCCTACAGCTAGAAACTAAACTGACATCAGTAATGAAGCTAACATTTGATTATTTTAGAAAATACACTTTTACTATTTTAAGTCTTAAAAGTGAACATGCAGTAAATGAACCCATTTGCTTGGTCAGAGACTCCAAGGTGAACTGCATTTATTATTTCTCTTCAATTAAGCCATTTACTAAAGCCCCATTCCTGCATGTGACAGTACTCAAGTACCTAATCTAACTCCTATGCAAACATTTGCAATACAAGGGTCTTGGGGTTTGTCTGCATGTGGGTAGGGGATGGGAATGGATAATCTCATGAGGTCTCTTCCAGTCCTACAATCTTATATGGAAGGTTCTGTAGCCTGGCTTTTGAACTGACATGGTTAAGGCATGCCAGTTTCTGTAAACAATGGCAGAAAGAGGAGTGATATGGCTAGGATTGCATCTGTCATTATGATTCCCACCCTTAGCCCTCAGCAGGATCAACTGAAAGGAGCTTTTCTCAGGAATCTGAAACAATGCTTGAAGCAGAGCTCTATAGATAAAAGAAGATACCTTAACTTGCTTTGTCACTGCACCATACTCATGTGGCTATAATTTGCTTTAAAAGATTATTT